AGCAGCAGCAGCTGGTAAGGTCCTTGGCAGCTTTCCTGCCTTCTGCCCACCATGAAGTGTCTCTTTTGTGATTCCTGTTTGCCTTGCCACCCTGCCTTGGGGCCAGCCGATTACGAACCTGAAACCTCTATCAACTGTGAGCTAAATAAGCCTTTCACCCTTTAACTTTGTGAGTCAGGTATTTTGTCTCAGCAAGGAGAGGAAAGTGACTGAGACATGTACCATACTGCTAAAACACATGATTTCAATAAAGAAAAAGTCTGTGTAAGTTATAGAGGGAAGAAAATGCCAAGTACTATGCTGGGTAGAAGCTCGAGGTTGCGGGTGGGGGGCGTAGGGAGGAGGAAGAAAGCTGGGAAATCACAAGTTTTCCCAAAGATTGCAAGCAGTCTCTTCTAGAAACTGAACTTTCCTAACTTCTTATGAAATAGACTTGTTCTCCCATGAAATGGGACACAAAGTTCATTTCAATCAGCACTGCAACTTTAATTTTAATTCTTGGATCTCCGCAATCATGAAGTATCTATTATCCAGCTATCGACCATGACTTCTAATAAATGCCTGAATATATGTGACTAAAAATCCCATCTAACTTAAGTTCCAAGGCCCTTAGGAAGTACTTACTGCTTTTTCTCCAGTGTAATAATAATATGTTTAAGAGGGAAAAGGGAAGAAAATACAAGGAGGAGGCAGAGCCTGCCTACATTGGTTCTGCCACTTAAAAAGCAGATTAGTTAATGCTTACTGAGCTCTCACTGCATGCCAGGCATTGTTGCTAGTGCTCTCTGTGTTACTAACTTAATCCTCAGCATAACCCCAGGAGGTAAGGACTATTTTATCACCAGTTTACTGGTGGAGAAACCTAATCATTGTGAACCAAACATTTGCTTAAGTTGCAGAGTTGGGGTTTGAACCTGGGCCGTTTCCACTTAAAGTCCACTCTTAACCACCTTTCATGCTTCCTGACTCTACTGCAGAGGAAAGACAGCCACTGCTAGCGCTTCAGTGCATTTCTTCTTAGCATGTTTGGTAGTTAACATAAAACAACATCTGAACTCATTTTAAAGGTGATTTCTTCGAGAGTTACTAAACTTTAATTGCTCTGACATTCTCAAGTTTGGTAAGCCTTTAATTCATTTTTTTCTTTATTTGCTTGCTTTATCTAAAAATTCAGATGAATGTCCATTTTGTATCTTTGTATTCATAATGGTTAGAATAAATATATAGTTACATTTTTTTAATGAATAGAGGGATTTGTTCTAATGGTGTTTGTAAATAGGATATCATGTCTGCATTGTCTACAGCAATTAACCACTAGGAAGAATGTAGGCAATGTGTTAATTATTGAAACTGTCCTACCAATTTGGTTTGAAACTGTCTTGTTGCTATTTGTTTCTCAATAAAATTATGGGAAAAAATTTAAAAAATAAAGGAAAAAAATAAAATAAAAATATTTAACCGTTAAGCATCTTGGAACTTAATTAAGATTAAGAGATTTAACTCTTGGTGCCAGTGAGATAGCTCAGCAGTCTGAAGTACCTGCTTAGGCAAGCTTAGGCGAAGTGCAAGGACTGCAGTTTGATCCCCTGTACCACATGCCACGCCAGCCCCGCCCCCAGGGAGGGCTGAGCCGGCCACACAAAAAAAGAGAGAGATTTAATCTTTATTTTTCAGTATACATTATTCAGCACAGCTGCATCCACAACACATAAGAATTAATAAAAGCCTTTGGTTGTATGAGGCTCTTTCTTGCTTGTACATATGGAAGTCAAGTCACACAGAGCTTGGCGCTTCATCTTATAATCCAAAGAAATAAATATTTTGCTTTAATTTCAATCAAATGTAATTCTACTGGTATTGGTTCTGTGTTTTCTGATCTGTATTCAAATTCATTTACACTTATTATTTCATGACAATAAAAATGTACATAATAAACACAAGAAAGTCATTGTTATGAGCTGGAATTCAAACCGAGTAAGGTATCGGTAATTTTTAAATATGGGTAAAATGCCAATTTAAGGCCAGCCTTGGTCTTAAAAGTTCATAGCTAGATTTTCTGTATGTTATTACAAATGCATTTATTCACATCCAGCAGTCTTTGCAAGGGCAGGCAGAGTCTGGCCAGACAGGGAGGCTATGTCTCAGGAATTGTGATGCCTTTGTGTGTCTCCTCACAGTCAACAAACTGGCCTCGGCTGCTCCAGAATGTGTCTCAGCTTCTTTACAAGACCCACATCTTGCAAAAGTACTTTATTATATTGGGGGTAGCAGAGAGGAAACATCACCTTTTTTTGAGGGTCAGAAACAGACATATTGGGCATAATTTCAAAGCACACATTCAGAGTGGAGTGTGGGTGCTCTAGAGAGAGAAACCTTATGGTCTGGGGCTGCGTTTCTGTAGGTGACTTGGGGGTGTCTTAAAATAGGTGATCTAGAATGTGAATTTATTAATGTGTCACATTTCCCCATCTGGCAGTCTACCTTAGAATGCAAACCATTTATAACATCAGTTATTTACAAGGTATGGTGGCAGGTGAAGTATTTTAAGAGTATAATTGTTTACTGACAACAAACTACAGCTATATTTTGAGTCATTTTGTCCCTGACCATGCTTTCCTAGGCTTGCTACCTCTGGGTTTGCCAAGTGACTCATTTATGCTCTTGGCAAAGAGGAGATTATGCTGGGGAAAGGGAATATCTATTGAGCCCTTACTATGTGCTAATGGGGGACTTTAACCCTCCTCACAAGTTTACAAAGTTGATTTTGTCATGCTTATCTTAAAGATCGGTGCCAAGAAGTCAGCAAACTTGCTCAAGCTTACAAAGTTAAGCAGCAGCTGATCTAAACAAAACCCAGCACTCTTTCTACTACACATGCCTCTCAAACACAAACATGCCTCTCAAACCCTCGTTGGCTGTGTTTTCCAAGGACACGGCCCCTAGGTCTTCAGCATCTTTAACTCCCACATTGTTTATGGTCTTAAATAATAATCTTAGATCGCCTAGAGATGTCTCAATTTCACCCAGAATATTGGGGACCACTTCACAGGTCTTATTTGCTATGAAGCTACATAAAATGCCTTTAGCTTACTAACCAAAATACCCTGTCTTTCCTGTACTAACCACATTTTAATTATTGGAAACCACCAGTAATAGAGGTGAAAAGGCCGTTAAATGAAAACATATTTCAGGGTCCTCCTGCCTTTTCTGTGGTCCTGATGATTGAACCCAAGGCTTCACATCAAGCTACATCCTTAGCCCTTTTTATTTTATATTTTGAGACAGTGTCTTGCTAGGTTGCTAAGTTGCCTAGGGTGGGTTCAGACTTGGGATTCTCTTGCCTCAGCCTCCTGGAGTTCTGGGATGATCAATGTGCACCACTTCAGGATTCACATTCTTAACAGCAACAGCTAACTGTCAGGAGCTGCATGGCAGGTTCCACATGGCAAGTGCAGGGGACCCAGAAGGC